AGACACACTCACAACTATAAATGAACCAAAAATAAATAAATGATCAAGTTTCAGTGTTTTTTCATATTGGAAATGGGATGTTTTTGGTTATGGTCACGATGTTATGATTATTTAAATGTATACAGTTCTGTTTCATATAAGTGTTCCCATAGATCTAGTCTCTTTATTTTCCCCTCAAAATGCACCAGATTGATGCATTTAACTCCAACATTTAAAAAAAAATCTTACCAGGGGGGCATGCCCCTGGACCCCCCTAGAGGGTTTGAGGTCCACCCCCACTTCAAATCACTTTGATAGGTTCCTAAATACATTTACAATTTTTTTAAATAGTAACCATGTCCATATGTTCATGTGTGGGTAGTAGATTTAAACTATAGGGCTATCACTATGGGCCCTGCCTGTTCCTGTTCACTCTGCCATCGCGTGAAGGGTCTGCTAACAAGCGAACAACAGAAATGTTAATGTTGTTGCACGTCACCTCAAACCCCCCCCCCCCCCCCCCCCCCCGTTACTACCACCCCCCCAAGTATATTTCAGATCTGTGGGAAACACTGAGCAGGATAATCTCAATAAATTAAAACCGCAATATGAATTTAAAGCTTAAAAGCAATTGGCAGAAGCAAAAAGCTAACGCTAGGCTATAAAGCACAGGTCTCAAACTCAAGGCCCGGGGGCCAAATCCGGCCGAGACTTCATTTTATGTGGCCCTGCAAGAGCTTGCAAAGAATATAATACGTTTATTATAGTTACTTGCCACTTTACAGAAGTAGGTTGCCCATAAACTACATGTCCCACAATGCATCTCGTTTTGTGACATGCGCACTGAAGAGACTTGCAATGATTTGCCCTGGACCTCTGCTTTCAGACGTAGTTAATTACTAAGTTATTATCCTATCCGATAATAATCCAATTCAGAGGCAATAATGTCATATAATACATTATTTTATATATATATATTATATATTTATATAGTTACAACCGGCCCTTTTGAGTGCAACCTTTATGCGAATGTGGCCTGCGATGAAATTGAGTTTGACACCCCTGCTATAAAGGAACTACATCACGTAGTTGCATCACCACCGCTAAGCTAATATTTGGTTCAGTAGTCACACGATGTAAATCTTATTTCAGGCATCTAACAAAAAACACATTAAAAAAACGTTGACATAAAGACAAGGGAACTAGAAGTGGTAAATTGCTGACTCATTTCCAGCTTTAAGGACTCATTCCTGCACCATTCTACAGAGCAGCTAAATACACAGAGATCCACACAGTAAACTACATACACATTGAAGGTGTGTATGACATGAGTCACCTAGGTCTAAATAGAGAACTCAGCTCTTTGTGTGAGGGTGTGTGTGTGTGTGTGTGTGTGTGTGTGTGTGTGTGTGTGTGTGTGTGTCCTGCAGTACCTCTCTATCTCCAGCTCTCTCTGTCTCAGCAGCCCCTCCTTCACCTTCACCAAAGTGTGTACAGGAAGAGAGGTCCCCATCAGCACCTACACACATATTTGTGGAGAGCACAACACTTTGGATTCATTATGGCTAAACTGTCCAGAGTAAAGAAAAGGAAAAGAGAGCAACATCAGTGATACCCTCATTTTAAGTTAAGTTGTTGTTGAGCTCCAGCAGTTAGTACGTCGTGGAACGGACTATTTTTTTCTTAGCCTAAGCAATACAATCCTGTTCAGATCAATATGTCGTGTGAAATGATGGATGTATTTAGTGTGTACCTAAGTACCCGTGTAACAAGCTGATTCGGAAGTAGTACTTTGAAGTCTGTTTTGTGTGTTGGGAACTTTAAACTTGGATATTTGATGGATACCTTCTTTGCAGTACATCCTCTCCTTCTTTGCTTTTTCCTCTTTCTCTATGCTTGTTGCTTATTCTCTATAACATGACATGTTTAGCTAATGCTTTCACCAAAAGCAACTCACGTGCGCTTCAGTACCGTAGATATTAGGATGCTCCGATCGATCGGCCGATATTCACTCTTAAGAGTTTGATCGGTGCTCTCTATAAAGAACGATCAGGAGAGCCGATCAGATGACGCAAAATACATGACACTCCTCTGTACAAAAGAAGCTCGCAAAAATGGCTTCACCGGTCTGGCAGTTTTTCAAGGAGTCAGAAAAAGACAATAAAATAGCAATATGCAACGGAGACACGCAGCTCTACCGGATCACAGCTCCGCCCGCTGGGACGGTGAGCGGAGCAACACACTAAGAGTTAGACCTACACATTAGCTATTTGATCTACCTCTGGAACTAGCTAAACTAGTTATATGTTTATTCTTCACGGTCGGGTCACTCAGTACTGGATCAGTGAGCTGCACGAGTCTGATACTGAAGAGAGAGAGCATCCGTTCCTCCCGTGTTATTATTCAAAGTTAATGTAAACTTTTGAATAATATACTTCATCTACTACAAGTAGTTTGTTTGAATGTAATAATTATGTTGTTTGTGGAATCATTTATTGAAAATGAATCTGAACTTTTCGATCTGTAAGATTATAAACTGAAGCAATATAAAAATAAGCCCCGTGAACTGAGTTTTAAACATCAGCATTATATTACCGGTCATAGTCCGGTGATTACCGGCTAACGGAAACTCTGCTACACAATTCACAATACAACACATTCAATGGAAGATCCCCATAGCCCCCACCCACCCTATGATCCCAAAAACCCTGATAGGAGCATCCCTAGTAGATATGCTAACAGGAGAAATGAGTATCTTGCCTAAAGACACTAGGGATGAAACCACCGACCCTCTGACAGTAGACACACATTTACCCCCGAGGCAAAGCCGCTTACCTGGTGAAGCCCCGGTTCCTGTTGACATGGCAATGGCCCATCTCCACAGCCCTCTGTTCCAGCAGCACCCAATCGGACCCCAGTTGACCTCCACCCCTCTACTTTGGGCCTTGTACTCCATCTGCTCAGCGAGCCACATCTGGGTGCGGACCGCCGGCTGGATAGGGGACCCTCTGTCGGTCTTGATGATCCTTCAGTGCTGGGTCAGCTGGTTTGGGTAAGCTGAGGCCATAGAGCTGTGCCCCCCCCCGAGCCACTTTAGATTCCGGCAAGGCGCTGTAGTTCATGTCCAAAACTGTTGCGTTTCACCGATGAGGACGGACTCGAGGGCACGGACCGGTTTCTTTTCCAAACCCACTGGATCTACTGCTGTGGTTTTTGTAGCCGGTGGTAGCAGGGCCCGGCCCCCGGGGAGCGCTGCAGGAGGCTGTTGTAGAGCAAGGAGGAAGATAAGGGGAGGTAAAGATCCACGTTAGAACCGAGGGGCTCCTTCCTGTACCCATGTGGCAGTCCTCGGTCCAGGGAGCCTTGGGGGTTGTACTGAAGGCCTGATGTCCTGCTGGAGCTTCTGTCCGCCCCAGAGGGCAGCTTGGTGAGAGAGGAGCACCTCCGCAGGGGCTGGTGGTCCTTCATGTCCAGAGAGACCCCCGGCAGGGTCACGGCAGGGGTCAGTAGCTGGCAGGATCTGCTCCAGCGCCCGGTGCTGCTGCTGGTGGAGGCTGGCGTACTATAGCCGGTGTACGGGGAGGAGGATGGGGACAGCATGACGTGGACCAGGGGGACGGACCCTTCATCCTGACTCACGAGATGCTGCAACGTGAGCGGCTGAAGAGACAACGGTGTGGTACTGGAACTGGAGTCATCTGGAAGACATACAGAGCATTAGAAGAAAGACCATGTCGGACTTCCTCATCGACACAGAATCATAACGAATGCTTTATTCAGTCTGCATAACATTAAGCTAACAAGGCTTTTTCTGCTTATAAACTAAAATATTACAAATGAGATAGATACTTTATTTATCCCAATTAGGAAATGATTTTTGTGTATACATTACAATTGTGCAAAGATTTCAGTGATTAATAACCTGCTGGTTTTGTAAGAGACAGACAGTCAGATATAAAGACAGGTTAACAGACCTTCCACGCTGTTGGAGCAGTAGGTCCCGATCCCGGTGTCCCCGCTGTCGGACACGGTGCTGTGCCGGCGGCCCCCACAGACACCGCTCCCAGGGACCCATCCTGGAGAGCCCCCCCCCAACTGGAGCCTGGAACACATTTTAAAAGGCTATCTGTCACACAAGGTATTTAGTGATTATACAGAAAAGTGGTTATCAGATGGAAATATTATTCTTGCAGTATACAAATCAGCGGGGCATAGAAAACAGTCATAAACCCAGACACCCTTCCTTCTCATGTCCTTAATGTATCTATTCAATTAGTAAATGTCAGAGGTGGGAGAAGTACTCAGATCGTGTACTTGAGTAAAAGTAAAAGTACCAGACTGTAGGAATCCTCTGTTACAAGTAAAAGTCCTGCATTCAAAATGTTACATAAGTAAACGTAGAAAAGTATTAGCATCTACATATATAAATATAGTATACATATAGTTAAAGTACCAAAAGTAAAAGTATTTATTGTGCAGATTGGTTCATTTCAGAATAATATATATGATATGTTTTATAATGATTGATCATGAAAGTGTTCTCAAAGCTGGTAAAGGTGCAGCTAGTTTGAATGACTTTGTATACTGCAGGGTAGCTGGTGGATTTACTCCAGGTGGAACTAAAGTCTGATTCAACACTTGATTAGATTTCACATCATTCATCCACATCTGTGAAGTAACTAAAGGGATTAAATACATGTAGTGGAGTAAAAGTACATGATTTACCTCTGAATTGTAGTGGAGTAGAAGTACAAAGTAGCATGGAAATACTCAAGTAAAGTACAAGTATCTCAACATTGTACTTGAGTACAGTACTTGAGTACATCTACTTAGTTACTTAACACCACTGGAAAGTAGTCATAAAACGAGACACCCTTCTCCCTCATGTCCTTAATGTAACTATTCAATGTGTTCTTGTAGCACAGCATCACAGAGGCAGATAGCATCGTGCTAGCTGCTGTACTGCAGCTATGGGCCTTTACATCTCAGTAAGTGGATGTAGCTAGCTTGCGTGTCAGAAACATAGAGTCAGAAACATAGACTGTCTATATAAAGTCAGAAATCATCCTGTACCGTCACACTTTTATCGAATGTGCGTCTCACCTGTTTTATTAGATTCGTATCCATCCTCTAATTCACTTCTGTACCACATCCCGTATGACTGTGAGGCAGAAACACGGCGGAGTGATCACAAGACAAAAGAAAAAAGGCCAAACGTCTGAAAAGACGGGGTGTATATGTTAAACTACATTATGGAAGAAAAGATCGAAAGATCTATGAGGAATGAGTTATGTCTGAAAAACATTCTTCCTAATAACCTTCCTAGAAATGACGTCCGGAGCTGAGCTTCCTGTGAGAGGAAGTGACCCCCGCAGACTCCTCGTCCTCTCTCCCCGCAGAGCAGCTCCGCATCAGGAGAACGGAACGGACCGAGGAGAGGTTCACTGCTGGAGCATGGGGACGTGTTTTCACTGTAGAATCACTCAGAACCGTAGTTCTGAGTGATAGGGCGTCTTTTCTTGCAATTACGGTAACCTTAAAAGGCTTTTAAAAATTATTATTATTATTATGTATTTATTTTATTCAAGAACATATGAACATGATGTTCATATAAAAATAAATCATCATCATATATTTTGTATACAAAAAAGCTCATATCAGGGGTAGACATATAAAGTAATACAAAATTACATTAAAAACAAAAAAATACTGTTTCATATTTCAGATGAAATATCACTATATTTTATATTAAAAATTGTATTCATTCAAGAACATATATGCACATCATATATTTTGTATTAAAAAAGTTCACATCAGGGGTAGTCATATCAATTAAATAATAAAAGAAACAAACAAAGTAAAGAAAGGAAGAAAAATAGAGTTTCATAATTTAGATTAAATATTAGTTAAATGCATAATAGTTTTCATTGCCTTTTTATCACCTTTGAAGTAGGCTATGTTAATGTCTCTATCCTGGAGTCCTACTTTTTTTTTTCCCGTTTTCAAAAAATATATTGTATCTCATATCAAAACATTTTACTATACATACATTCATAGAATAAATGGAAAGAATATTTTTCTTATTTATTTGTTTATTTAATGTTTTAATATTATTTTATATTTATTCATTCTGTCCTATGCCTTCCTTTATTTTAGAGAGGGATCATTATTTATTTTTATTGTATTGTATTATCACTATCATACCTTTTACCTCCTTGTGTCCCTTAAACTGTTTTATTTATATTTACCTTGTATTTGTGTGTAAAATGACTCAAAAAGGGGAAAATAGGAGGAATAGTACATGTTTAGCCCAGTTTAGATTTTTGTCAGATTTGATAGAGATTTGGTGCCATCTGCAGCCTTTATTCCTTTGTTTGCTTGCCTGGATGATTCATCATGTATAAACCTGTTTTACTTTTGGGACTTTGGACATTAATATAAATGGCAGCAAAAACAAAAGTTTGACTCAGAAAATGAAACAGGTTACATTATATCCAACACACTCTCAGCGAATCATACGCAGTTCTGGTATTTTTGTTTAATCCTGTATTCAATCAGGTAGTCTAGTTGAGAAAGATCTCTTTTTCAAGACAGATTTGTGTACAATAAAAACCAATAAATATACATAAAATTCAAGCATAGACGGAATGATATTTCACAAACAAATATTATACATTCAAACAATTAAGAAAACAAATGGTTGATTGCAGAAACATAAGTACAACCTTTTCAAATGTTCAAGTAAGAAAAAACACTTTAACTTAAGTGTAAACTAGGAGGTACAGAACAAGTTAAGATGTTTGTAAAAAACAGAGTTTCTGCATTCTGCAACATAAACATTTCCATATTCAAATAGTACATTGGAATCCTCATTGGATATGCACAGATCATTTGTAAGTAAGGTCAATGAATTGGTTTGCACGTTTTGTTGACCAGGCTTACGAGTTAAATCTCTGAGGAAAAGTAAGATGATATACTTTCCGTGGTGAAATGATGTGTTGGTTTAAGCACCTGAAACTGCAGAAACATTTGATAAAGAAGACAATGTTACTGATTATAGATAACATTGGGATCCATAATCAGCACTCCACACACTAGTTATTTAGCATCTCATGTATATCATTGTACATCTTTGACAGGGTATACTTAATATGAGTATGTTAAATATGGTAATAATTCTCAGCATGTCAAAGATATAATGACAAAGACAATAAAACCAGAGAAACAGAAGGAGGGCACAGACACTAATCCAAGTGGACTATGTTGGCTAATAAGTCCCTTGGCATTAGTGGTGCATGTTGCCTCCGGTTATTATAACTCGTTAAGAACCATCTGGAACACATCAATGTATATTTTGTTAGGTCACAAATAGTACACTAAGCTGCACTTATCCTAATTTTTTATATAAAAAACATCAAATAATTTCCCAAACCTCAATCAACTCAAAAGACAGAAAAATAAAAAAACTCAGCTCTCATCAACTTCATTTCCAGCTTTCAGCAAACAGCATTCAGACGTAGTTAGTGTCTAACCTGTGATTTACAATGAAGAATAAATGAAGGACAGAAACAGACAGCATGGCCAATGTGGCCGATGCACTAAAACCTTATTTCCCCAGCAAAAAATATGTGTGCTAATGATGATCATATTATACTGGGCTGTTTCAAAGAAGTGGACATCATGGTGACGTCCACCATAAGTTTTGTGGAGACTCAAGTTTAGCATTTTGGTTAGCGCCATACCGCCATTTGGTTATTTGGGCCAGAAAGTGACCATAGAGTGGAGCTGGGTAAGAGCAAGGTAGCGATTCGTACAGTTAGCTGCCAAAGCTAGCTCTAGCTTGGTTAGCAAGCTTCATCCATATGGGTCGTCAACTGTTCAATGTTAATTGGGATGCTTAACTTAGCTGAAAAAAAAACGACCCGTGAGTGATAAGATTATAAAAAAAATGAACAGCATACTTCTTAGTGTTTCTTAACTGAAATCTTAATGCAATCCTGCTCTATGCTCTATTTCACTCAAAATGGGACGATAGCAAACCAAACATCATGCTGTAGTGAAGACATTTTAAAACTAGCAATTGAGACTGCAAATCCATTAGTAAAAGTATTACTAAGGTAATGAATCCAGTGAGAACAGGTTCATTTTTCCTGTACATTTTTTTATATAATCTTACTTCTATCAAAACAACATCAGAGACTCAGACAAACAAGAAATAATGTAACTGCTCCTATGTTCCTGCTGGATGTCGTATCAAGCAGCTTTTTCCAAAAGTCAGCTTGTTGTGCTGTCTCCAAATGGCCAAAGAATCAACGAGATCAGCCATAAAGTTCATAACTGCAGGCGTCACTTCAGCCACCGGTCATGTTATCATTGGTTTTAACCCAGATATTTTCAAATGGTCAATACTTATTCTGTGCTTTTCATTGAGTCTATGTATTGAGGTGAAGCTCACAGTCAGGTAGGACATGTCTTTTGACCAGGGGTTTAAAGTCTTTCCAAACACCTCTTTTGCACGTTTCCTGAAATGCTTCCCGACAATGACAAACAGGAAAGGATTCACTGCGCTGTTGCTGTACGCCAAATATGTGGACAACTGTATGCCGATGTCCAGGACATGACCCCAGAGGCATCCGGGTGTGACCTGGAAGTAATCCAGAGTGTCCAGGAAGCGCATCACCTGGTGAGGTGTCCAGCAGAAGAGGAAGACAGCGAGCACGGCCAGAACCAATGAGGTGGCCTTCCTCTCCGCCTTCACCCCAGGGAGCCAGAGGACTTCCCGGTCGCTCAGCACAGAAACAATGTGACGAGTGCAGTACCCCACCACCAGGACAGGGATTAGGAAGCCCAACACATTACTGGTGATGTTGTGGTGCAACCTCCATGCTGGGTGGGGGTAGGCTAAAATGCAGGCATCCACCCCGGGATCCTCTACGTACATCATTGTGCGGAAGAACAGTGTGGGAAGAGTGAAGAGGAAGCCCATTGTCCAGACCCCAAGGCAGATACGCTTGGCCCAGGAGGCTCTCCTTAGACGACTGGTGCTCATGGGCTTCACCAAGGCAATATATCGGTCCATGCTGACCAGCATGAGGAACAGAACACTGCAGATGTAGTTCATAGAGATGGCCACATTGACCAGCTTACAGAGGACCTCTCCAAAGTCCCACTGGTAGCCCCGGGCGATGGTGACGGCCCAGAAGGGAAGGCAGGTCATCATGATGAGATCGGCAGCTGCCAGGTTCCCCAGGTAGACATCTGCCACGGTGCAGGGCTTCCTCTGCAGGCAGAACACACTGAGAACCAGGCCATTCCCTACCAAGCCTACCAAGCTGATAAGACCCAGGTAGGCCGGCTGCAGGGAGGACAGCCACAGCCAGGCTTCAGTGTAGTTACTGCAGGGGTCCACCTCTGGGGCCAGGGTGGGGAAGAACCAGTCTGAGGCATTCACACCCATTGGAAACTGGGAATGATAGAAGTAGTCATATTGAGTAAGTAAAGAGTGGAAAAATCTGCAACGGGTGGTGAAGTACATTGTCGAGACTGGGCTTCCAAATGTTATGACCTAAATACAACTCAGGACAAGGTTTTAAAAATCAATAAGTCCATACAAATAAATGCCATAAAATATTAAATTCAAAAGTTTTCACTATTAAAGTTATTATTTACTCAAACTGCAGCTCCTTAATGAACCTTTTGTCTTGTAAACGAATGCATCTTTTGACATAAAGTATGACTTTTCAAATTGACTCGTGACTTACATTAACCAAAAGACCTGGTGGAAATCGTGTTTACATTGTAAAAATGCAAAAGAGTTGCAAACAAAAAACAAAATATTATACATGCATTATGTAATGATCAACCAAATGGATCTAATTTATCTGTACATATCTGTTATATTCTTATTTGTATTCATGAACATTTTAGGAATGTAGCAACAATTGATGTTTCTTCCACTGAAAGATAATCTAATAATTGGGGAAAAACAAGTCATGAATCTCAAAGACTGGTTATTGTAGCATAGCACCACTCTTACATACCTCTTAGGATTAAATACTGTGATGAATACCTCTGCCTCCCTCACAGTTAGTGTGGAAATAAGCAATGTTTCATCACTTACGAGAAACAGATACCATCGCAGAATGGATCAGCACAGCAGTGTACAGTACTCCCCCTCTTACTGCTGGAAAAGCAACCTAGCTGTGTCAAATGTTGTAGTTTTACCAGAAATCACTCCGCGTCTATTGTACATTACATTTCATTAAGCTGACACTTTTATCCAAAGAAAACACAAACAGGTTGTATTCCAATGCCCCAAAATCTGGTTTACTTTGGTGAATAGTGTCAAAAAATGTTTTACCGGACTCCACAACTAGTCCAGCATTCAGCACTCAATACCAGTCTAAAGGTGTGCTCTCTTAAGTTATCAGTACATACAAGCAAAAAGTGTATGAAACTGTATTTTCTGTACATCACATATTAAACTTAAAGTCAAATCTAAATGGAAACGCTCTTAACACTTACTGTTTTCATTTTCTAAACATTCCAAATAGGCCTATATAACTTCAATGTTCATCATCTTGGAGCAGATTAAGGACAAAATAAAAGCTTATTTTTGCATTATACTGCAATTTTTTAAAAACATTTTTCTTGACAGAATCCCTGGCTCATCTTGTCCCTATCCAGGCACTGAAAAACAAAAGGCCAGAAACAGCCGAGAAATATAATTTATTTTCAATCTACTTTGTGGAAGCTTTTGTTGCGCTCACCTTATCTCCGTGGCTTTGCCCTTCCATCCAGATGTGCCTCAGTTCATTCCCAGCAGATAATCGTCATGGTGATGTATAGCCTCCACTGGAGTGAGCACTTGAAGACCGCTCACTTTTATACAAGCAGGCCCAGACACGACCACTGCGTCATCAGCTCCCATCTGTTTCCCTCCGCAGCGCCTCTGTGTGTTCTGCCTCACCTAAATGGTATTTACTGTCCTGCAGCATTCTGTTTTCACTTCAACCTGACTCAGTGTTTGGGTTTAGTAATGCATAAGAACACACGTGTGCTGATATAAAAATAGAGTGACTATTTTTATTTTATTTTATATTTATGCATTTGTTATTTTGAAGTCCTAGCCTTTTTCTAGACATTTGAGTCACCACCCTAATTGTAGTATCATACATAATTCAAGATATGTTTTCATTTAATTGAGTTTTAAAGAGCTTATTCGGCAGAATAGTAAAAAGTATGTATAATGTCAGGTTTTTGTGCATGTAAATGGTCTGCAAAGACTAAAATCCCAAAGTTCCCTCCACGGGGAGTTTCTCTCCCACACACTCAAATGTGCATGCTCTATGAGCCAACTACGGGTACTTTTGCTCTCGCAGGCAGGCATGATGGGTAATTTGAGATGTTTTGCTCTCGAGAGCATCAGGCCATTTTGTCTTCATGCGCCACTGAGCAACTCTCATAGGAATGAACGAGGCCCTTCCTCCAACGCTGTATACAGTTCTCTTAATACATCCATGCTAGATACAGGTACTTTTGCTCTCGAGAGACTGGTCATTTTGGCTTCATACGCCAACAAGCAACTTAGAAATGAATGGGGTCCCGACTCCAACGCTGTTTCCAGTTCTCTTTATTCATCCATGCCTGACCTCAACAACCCCGTCTAACACCTATTGGGTGAACTGGAATTCTAAATGTCTGATCTTATCTTTCAGTTGTGGACCTCAGTCTCCGAATCCGAGCAAATCCCTGCAGCCAGATTCTGATTATTGATCTTATTTAATACTTTTTTTATTGGATTTGAAGCTATTATAGATAGTCATTAGTGCCCGGTGTGTACATATAAAGTTGTCTCAATAATATGTCCACTGGCCTTATTATTTGTTGAGTTTTTAGAACACTGTTGGACACATTTAAAATGAGCAAATAAGCACAAAAAGCCACTAGCCCACTTAGTGATGTCAGTCTGCAGTGCACAGGATAACAGTAACAGACCATAGAAGGGCTCAGTATGGCTAATACAAGATATTCCAGATCAGAATCTGACAGCAGTTCCACAGTTTTAAGTAAACTCTTGAGTAAAATATGCTAAACAAATGGAACTTTATAACAATAACACTAATTGAAACTGAGGTCCAAAATACCAATAAACCATGCAGAGTGACCTCACACAGAAGGCTTGATGTTTGACCGGAGTCCAAGTTTTCATGCGTCAGATTGAATTCTTCTCAGTGTTGGCTATTTATCCAAGTTTATTTTTGGAGCTATTACTGTTAATGTTACTGTTTGATGGTCTGAACTCAAAAATAAAACATTCCTATATAACTTAGATGGCCAAATGTATCAGGTTCAAATCTATCAACACCGTAGGACATTTGCTATCCACCTCCAATTCAGGAGGGTAGTTGGACAGGCAGCCACAGTTGTCATAACAATTTAGATGCTGTTGAATTAAATGAAAAGAAAATGTCACCCTCATGTATACTCTTGTATCAAGATGTAAAACAATCTGGCACTGAGGACAACACAATCAGAAAACAAGACATTTTATTCATGTTAAAAGTGATACCTTTTTTGCACACATGCAGTGCAATTAGCTAATAGGCAAGATAATCAACCTATTAGGCCCCAAGCCTGTTTTTCAGGTTTCAGGCTCGAAAATGACATTCCCAGAACAAATGACCACATCTTCCCTTCTAAAAGGGTTAAATTAATAATCTTTTTTCTCAAAGTAATGATAAACCTGTGAGTTGGATGTAGAAAAGTCAGAATCAATATAGATGTTTTTTATTTTAAAGAAAATTCAGATTGAACATCATAAAAAACTGTAAATTATAGTGTCCGTCCAAATAATATGTTGTACTTATAGTGAAAACTAACCTTGGATGATGGATTAGTAGACTAAAAGCTTTAGGAATCCAAAGTACAACATATAATAAGTACCCTGTATCAATATTGATGCAAAATAAGTGATATTTGACCTTTTTAGACAGATTTAGCAAAAAAAAAACCTCTTCTGGGGCCATTTGGGTGGATTTTCCATATCTCTGGCCCCCCCTTGTTCGATTTTGACATGTGACATCTCTTTCTGACCGTTAGAGCCAATAGAATCCAAGGGAAATCGTCCCGCACACACTCATGTTAAATAAAAGGTAGGAGAGGGGAGAAATATCGCTGCACTGATATCAAGCAACGGAAAAGCTGTTTTATTGCTTATGGATTATCAGAACATTTCAAAGGGGACGCAGTCACATTGGATTAACCTATGGATTAACTACAGCATCGTTTTTATCGTTTTAATGCCATTGAAGACCAGTTTACACCAGACAAAGACGAAGGTAAGCCATGTTAGCGTTGTGGGCTACCTAGCGCCACTTGTTTTGATGTACGTTTTTGTTGATAACGTTCGAGTTTGTATCTTTCAGTGTTGAGGTGGGCACCGTTAGATTCTGTGTCTTTACGATCATAAACGATGTGTTGGATGTGCAGCTAGGATAAGTAATAAGGGAGCTAGGAGTGATTATCGGTGCAGTAATAGGTTAGCATTTTTCGTTCAGGGGTCATTTAGATGCTTCTCATGAGACTTGTGTTTTGTTTTGGTAAAAATGGTTTGTATCGTCAGTTAGCTGAGATTATTCCCGTTAATCTGGTATAACGCATTAATAGGTTCTTAAATATTAAGATGCCTTGTGAGACACAGTGTCGTGAAAAATAAAACTAAGGTACCCGCCGGCGGGGACCTTCGGGCTTAACAGGTTTTAAACAAAAATATAAATAAAAAACATATAATAATGAATTAATAAAATAACATACAATATTATTTCTTGGGTAAATAAAGCTAAAAAAGACGGATCATACATTTTTGGGAATATTGAATAATTGCGGCTCTAACTTCACACCTCTCATTTACTGCTCTCCACATACATTAGAGTCGACTACCCACAGTTACGAACATTTTCTTTGTTTGAAAACGTTGCCTTGAAGGATAATTCAGACATTTGTCTCTTTGGAACTTGGAAAATAAACAGATCAGTCTGTACATATCACAGATATGTACAGACTGATCTGTTTAGTCTGTATCTCCCTCCTCCACACACGAGGAGGGAGAGGTGATTAGCATGATGACACGGCAACAGTTAATGATCACTATCTCCTTCATTTCCTGCAAAACCAAATTACACAACTCTTCTCAGACGAGTCAGAAGCATTCCTGGAAAAATTAGGTATTGAAAAAAAAAGGAACCCAGTTAAAGGCCGTCCAAAGCAAGAACAATAACTAGATAACTATGAATCTATGGTTTTAAAAATATCACTCTAACTCAAGTAGATGGGCTGACTCCAATTAACAGAACGTTACTCTTTGTCAGTGTGAATCCTCACATACTTGTATTTTTAGTTCTGGTTTAGATCCGTCCAGGTCAATGGCCCTCTAAAACTTTAATCTGGGCTTATTTTTTTTAATTGACTATTAAGAAAACCTTTTGCACATAATGGCAATATAGGCGAGAACAAATTATAGCATGCACAAAATTGTTGAATAAACATGGGTTTAAGAATTCTGAAGTGTCTCTTGGTGTAGATAGCTCCTTCAGGTGCAACTATTAAAAGCACTGAAGCATATAAGTACTCCTAGTGTAACTAGATTGAATCCGTACTAAAGCAAGTTGACAGTATTTTTGTAATAACATTTACGGCATAACAAGCTGGCTAGCTTGAGTGAGCTGTCAAACAACCTAGCTAGGGTTGGCTATCTATCTATCAAGACTAGTTAGCATTAGCTGATCAATTAAATAAGTTGTCAAGCTAATGCTAGATAACTAGCGCGTCAGTTATGTTATCTAACTAGCTAGCTAGTAGGGTAGTTTCAATTTGATTCAATATTCATCAACGCAAATAAACACATTTAACACAAGTATTACAACTAGATTCCCTTTACTATTAATTTAACAGAACAGAGTGAATAGTTAACTTATACATTATTCGGTTTAATTTTGTGACAAAATAAAGCTTTTTCATTTTGAGGCCTTGCCTCTTCTGTGGGCCTGTTTGACTTTAAAGCCAACAATACTGTTTTTATCAAACTTGTTCCCAGCCACAGCAGGCAGCTACTAACCGACAATACCAGCCCAGCAGAAAGACAACGTTAGCCAGATATTTGCTTTAGGAGTTATGGAGACTAAAAGAGGTGGGACTATGTAATGATTGGTAGTGTCAGCACTCAATGATCCTATTGGAGTTTTCAGGGTAAAAACTTGGAAAGGGATATATTGGGCCTTTTTTAGTTCAGAGTAAGCTTTTATTGTGATACACCTGTGCAGGAAGATACAGTATACCGTTTTTTAGCATTGGCATCAGTGGTCAAAATGACTAGGACTAAAAACAGAGAGAATTCTTACCAATATATGACCAAATATAAGTATAAAGAGGTCAAAGAAGTGTGAGGAAAGCTCTTAATATTGAATAAGTGTACCTTTGAGCGTTTATTCTCGTCACAATCTTATTTCCAAAGGTCTTAAATAAATCTCTGTGCACACATCAAGGATTTCTGTTTCATGTCACAACTGTGAACTCTAACAGAAATATGGAACACACAAAGAAAATCCCCGTTAGTCATTCTGATTTGGACTTTCTTCCCTTACTCACCGATGACGACAGATCGTGAAAGACAGGGAAGCAGACTTGCAGCAACACACATCTCTGGCTAATGGCTTCTCTGATAATCACCGGAGGAATTTTCTCTCTACTCCTCTGACAATTCCAGTAACTGAGTTGCATTAGACTATTCGAGCAGGCCAGACCTCCCCTCTGTTTCAAAAGGGAAGAGCTGCAAGGTATGGTGATGCAC